TCGTCTGTGACCCTGCATGGAGTCCCACACGTGAGGTGGAGAAATTGTTAGGGTTAGGGTCAACAGGTTCAAGTTAGGGTAAGTAACACTCAGAAGTAGCCAGGCAGCTATAAGAGAACTCCAGTGAGTGTCAGAGTTCATCTGTTGGGTTATGACTCAACTGTTAGTTGTGCCATGTGGTAACAGATCAACTGCCTCCCCTGGGGTTTTCACCTGGGAATTGTAAAGTGATGATTCGAGACTGCACACACACAGCCATACTTTCATTCATTAGATCTTCCCCTTACATCTTCTAGCTGCAGAATACACATGAAAACGCAACCAAACTACCAACCAGCGCTGCGTTCAGTCACACTATTCATGTCATTATGAAAATGGTAGACCATGTAGAGATGAGACAGAGACGACAAATAGAAAGAGCCTGTGTCAACTGACCACAATATCAAAGTATGGTGTGACAGTTGAGTGGAAACTGCCTTCATCTTCCTCTGTATCTTAATTCTTAATTTAGTCAAGAAAATCCCCTTAGAGTCTAACTTTTATTTTTCTCTTTCTTCAAATATTACTCATTAACTATGATTTTGACGAGATTTAAAAATAGTACAGGACATTACTGGAACCAATATGTTATTTCTTGTCGATTTTTGTTTTTATTATTCATTATAATAGTTGTGTTATAGCTAGACCTGCAACTTTCAACCAGAGGGGGCTTTAATGAGAGGTTGAATGTTTCAGGTCTGTTGCACCATACCCAGCATGTGGGTATGACTGTGATGTCACGGTGTAATGACCCACCCCATAGTGCACTTCTAATCTTTCTTAACTGTTAGCTTGTTAGCTTGTGGGTTGTAGTAGCTAGAAGAGCAGCATCACAGTAGGGTAGGTAGTATTTCTGAAGCCAGCATCTAGTGGGCATTAGAGGAACTGCATCTAAAGACACATCAGATCGGCTTCAACACTAAGCTGAGGTGGTTGCCACTCAAGTCAGTCCTTCTGTAAAAAGAGAAAAAGCTTTAAAAGGCATTCTGGGAAGTGTAGGAAACCCATTATGGAAATATAAGATGATGACGCAGGTTTAGGGAACAAATCAAATAAAAACAAAACAAACTAAATGCCATCATGGTTCGAGTGTGTGTAACACATACCGAGCCACTCTTACTCTCTCGCCAAAACAAATGAACTCAAAGGTGGAAAGGCAGGGACACCAGGAAGATGCCAATGTGTGTGTCTGTGTGTTTGATGTAGGGAAAGAGACCTGTGTGTGTGTGTGTGTGTGTGTGTGTGTGTGTGTGTGTGTGTGTGTGTGTGTGTGGGGCAGTCGGAGGTTCGGGCCGATGCCAGGAAGCACATTCTTTGGCAGCACGGAGGGCTGCTGTCAGATGCCGCTCAGGAACACGATGTACGGTGCTCTGGATGCAGCAAAACCAGCGCCCTGAGATTAAACCACACACACACACACACACACACACACACACACACACACACACACACACACACACTGCTGAGGTGGCTGGCAGAAAAGGGGCTTTGTCATAGTGCTGCACTTACATCATTAAGAAAACTGTGGTGCCTTATTTGGCATTGGTGGTGATTGACATTTCCTTCCAGCCAGTGGGATGCTGACTTTGCCCTCCTGGCTGCGGTCATGTTGACACTGCAGTTGCTACATTGCATTAATGCTTTAGAGTCACTCGAGCTGTGACAGTTCCCTCAGCCAATGAGATGCTCTCTCTCCTGGCTGTGGTCCTCGTCTGTCAAACGCAGTGGATAAATGTCTCTGAGTCCAAGGGCAGCGGAAACAACGCTACCACTGTGTCGCTCTGTGTCCAGCGCCTGTGTGCTCTCTGCTGGGCTGGCTTTCCTCCGCTGTCTGTTAGTCGCACTGTGCAGGTTTGTCCCCTCATTGTGGGGAACCAGCAACCAGCAGTGAGCAGAGTTGGGTGACTTTATATTGATGTTAAAATCCAACCTGTCAATACCCCACAGAGTGTTCTATACTGGTTAGACACTGAGGCTGAAATCAAGCCTCTTAGACTTTAAAGGTGGGGCTGATAGTTGATTGTGTTGCAATATTAGAATTCTCAGCACCTACCAATCATCTGGGGATTTCCACTGTTCAAGCTAGTTGCTTGAACAGTGGCAAGAACAGCCACTAACACGCCCCTTACTTCAACGTGGAGATATAGCAAGTGACTTTATAACACAGCATTGAAAATGGATGTCCCAAGTACCATTATATGGTATGACAGTGTTTGCAACTTACGCATGTCACAGCCCTTACTTTTCCCAGCTAGTTTTAGCAACCAAAGTTGGGAGAAAATCCTCAGTCTCTATTGAGCGAAGCATCTAGTTGATTGTTGGGTCTCATTCTTAGGTCGTCAAATACTGACGCTTTGGCAACCCAAAGAGGGTGCCCCCATGTTTGAAAAAACACTGCAAAAGTGTAGAGGCATCTTTCCAGTGGACAAAACACGATAAAGTTCCCCAGGGTGCCTTTTCAGTGGACAATGTGGTAAAGTGCCCTCAAAGGTTAATGCTAATCCTAACCCTGACCAAGCTGTTTCACCATAAATGCATCACAACTTTCTGCTCGCTGGTGCCCTTTTTATTTTCTACACCCCTGCCCCTCAAACCACCAGCGTCCCCCACTGGTATAAAGCAGTTCCTATTTTTCACTAGTTCTACAATATTATTAAAAATCATTACTGTGAATAGCATTATAAGGTTGATTTGCCATTTTAATCACCGTATCTTACCGTGTGGTTCCAGTTTGTTTTACATTGGGGCCAAAAACACACAATGACAGCACAATGTTGCTTGTGGATACAGTTAGATCTCCAGTTGGTCACAGCTTGTGTAGATTCTACCCACAGTCTCTCTCTCTCTCCCACACACACACACACACACACACACACACACACACACACACTGTATTTCCATTATACAGAAGCTCAAACAGAGCTTACTGCAATTCCTCTAAGCCCTGCTGCTTACATTGCACTGGTGCAGGGAAATGCATGCAAACGCTCCTTGAGGATTTCCACTGAATTACTCAGCAAATCACCATTATGTTGACATATGGCCGTAAAAAGGCAGGTGGCAGCCCAGCGTTAGGACATATATCAGTACAGTAAGGTGTGACGGTAGGTTAGAAGTCGCGTTGTGAGTTTCTAATTATAATCAAATCAAGGAGGTTAAAGGGAATCGAAAGTGCTTGTTAGCGAAAGACTTAAAGCTGCATGATTTTCTTGTTAGAAGCCTCCAGTGTCAGCGAGAGGTAACTGCAGCTCTTTAAATGAGTAGGCTGTATGTATTATTATTAAAATTGTGAAACTGCACGTAAGGAGTGCTTTATATAGATAAGGAAGTATAGTATAACCCTCCTGCTTCGTCCACAAGGGGGTGATGTGTCTGCAGCTGCACTGAGAGCTGAACCTAAACGTAACTTAATCCACCACCAGGTTGTCAATTAATACAACCAGGCAGTGTATTACATTAATGTGTGTGACTGAGACATAGAACAGCCTGATATTGATGAGACTGTATGCGCACACACACTAATTAAGGGCATTACAATCCACGAACCAGGCTGCATCAGTGTACTCTGGACAAAGCAGATGTTGAGCCAGAGGGGGCAGAGATGAAAAAGAGGCCAAAAAAGATGAGCAGGACATGTTTGTTGTGCCAAATATGTCCACTCATAAAGACACAGGGGCCCATTGTCCTGTGCTGTGTTTGCTGCTGCTCCTCAATCAGACAAATCACAGGGATCAGTGTCTGCAGGACTGAAGCACATCCATTAGTTCATCACTAATCCAAGACCAGATGCCTTTTAGCTGTCTGTGTCTTGTTTTGCACTCAGATCTGACTTTAGGGGTATTTTGCTGACTCATATTGCATGTAGGCAGTTTGAGAGATTATAACAGTGTACCATAACCCCCCACCTCCATACTTACAGGGACACTCTGCTGGTCTAAAGGGGATTTGTCAAGTCTTGACTTTAACGTATACAGATATATAAGAGGAAGTTTGCTGGAACCAGTGTTTATCCGTTCTGAAAATAATGGTTAACCAAAGTTTAATGTACAATTGTTGAGCTTCAATTCAATTCAATTCAATTTTATTTGTATAGCGCCAATTCATAACAGAAGTTATCTCAGGACACTTTTCAAATAGTCTAGACCGAACTCTTTATAACATTATTAACAGAGACCCAACAGTACCACCATGAGCAAGCACTTGATGACGGGGGCAAGGAAAAACTGCCTGTTAAAAGGCAGAAACCTAGGACAGATCCTTCAGCTCTAGGTGGGTGGTCGTCTGCCTTCAGACAAATTCATGCAGACTAGATAACGCTTTTAGTCTTTTACTATTCCATTAATAAAAAGCCTTTCGCTGTGCTAAAACCTAAAGCACACTGCAGCCACTTATACTTAAAAAAGCACACGGCTAGTTTAAGTTTTGAAATCATCAAACACATTCTCAGTAGACACCACTGTGTCAGTCTGTCCCTCCAGGCTGTTCAGAGATCACCATCGACAGCATGCTGTGCTCTGAGTAATGCCTTATCTCACATCTCCATCTTCAGCGTGCACTTATGCTAAACAACTTGCATCAGTTCCTTTATGAGCAACATAAACAGCAGCAGTGAGGAGGCTACAGGTCAGATCACATTCCTGTAAACGGAGATGGATCTTGGAAGAGAGAAGCACTGTGGGAATAGAGATCTGATTCTGAGGAGGGGTGCATAAGGATTATTGTTTATCAGTTTAGAGAAGGCGCGTGTGTGTAATTCATGGTTTCATTTCTGGCCCCACGTGTGTTTATTTATGCTGAATGCCATTTATGTAACATTTCTCTCTATGTCCTTTTTATTTTTTTCCTCTGGGACTGCGAGGCTGGCTGGCTGTTGATCACCAAGGGCAGGCGGGAGAGAGATGCTGTCCATCTCACGGGGACATCTTATGTAACCATGTGCTCTCTCTCTCTCTCTCTCACAGGCTTCACTGGAAGTTAATGTATGCTGCAGATGCCTATGGGCTGCAAATTAGCAAGCAGGACTCTGGAATGACGCACCGCTGGCAAAAAGGTCTGAATCTCTCTCTTTGTATCTGTGTGTATACTTTAAATAAGGGAGCAGGTGATGAATCGGCAAGGAATTTTAATTCTTTGAAATCCAGATTGAAAACAAAGCATATTAGGGTTCAGGTTGAAGATGCTGTGTGTGTGCAGGTAGGTGTGTGTGTGTGTGTGTGTGTGTGTATGTGTGTGTGTGTGTGTGTGTGTGTGTGTGTGTGTGTGTGTGTGGCTAATACCTTTGTGCTTCTCCCTTCTGGACCAAATTGTTTACCTGGCTGTGGAACGAGAAGAATGTTTGTGTGGGCGAACAGCATGATCCTACCTGTTGTAAAAGGCTGTGTGTGTGTGTGTGTGTGTGTGTGTGTGTGTGTGTGTGTGTGTGTGTGTGTGTGTTTCTCTGGCCCTTATACACCGTGCCACTCCCTCTCACTGTGAACTTTGCTTCCCAACCACGTTGCATGGCCTTTACAGCTTCATCTGGCTGTGTAGATATGTATGTATTTTCCCCCTGCAGTCACCTGACAGTGATGTATGCTGGCAGGGACTCGAGCAGGATGGGAGGATGAAAAAAGGTTGAGAGATAAATGGAGGGAAACGAGTGAAAAGAGGAAATGAGGACAATGACGCCTGTTGTTTTATCTGAGGTTTTTTTAGTAGGTGTTTTGTTTGATCTGAACTGATAAAGAGGAAGGAAGTGGTAAGAAGCTTTTGTTTTCTGAATCACACAATCATACATGGTCGATTATTTACTTACTAACTGTACAGAACAAGTATTAAAGGACCAGTGTGTAGGATTTAGTGAAATCTAGTGGTGAAGTTGCAGATTGCAACTAACTGAACACAGCTCGCATCTGTATTTGACGACCTAGGAATTATCCTTTGTTCCAAATGCCGTCAAGGTAATAAATCAAAGTAGAATGTAGGATAGAGAAGAAGAAGAAGACTTCCGAACTTTGCTGCTGGTTCTTGCACAGTAAGTTAATGTGCTGTTGTGTATACTGTAGACTGGTGCACTGTGAGTTGTACTTTTATAAATGCCTTTATGTTTTTATGACAAAGTTCCACATTGTGGATAATAAAGTTTTCATATTAATAATGCCAACAGTGTGTAGGAGAAACTATGATGGTCACAAAACTCACAAAAAACAAATGTGTATGTTAATTTGAGTTCGTTCAAGCTGAAAGCACTGCAGCCAAGGATTGCACTTGGGTCTCTGCAGTGGTGGCTTAAATGTGTTTTGAACTTGAATTACTACACATTAAGATTTCCTAAAGATACAAAATTTTAGGTTCGACCTGAACGATGATGATGATGATGATTTGAAATGATCGCTGAAGGAGCCCTGCAGACAAGCTTTATGTTGTCGGATAAAGCATTAGCATATTTTAAGCTAAATTACAGGGAATTTCAGCTGTGTGCAGCTATAAATAATGAATTAGATTAGCACGTCTCTCAGTGTGATATAGATTGATGATGGCTATCTAAAATGAGGATGACGTTAAAGAAAAAATTATGTAATAATAATAATATAAAAGGAAGGTTTTAAGGGAATAATTATAGTGGTGTAATATTTTTAAAAAATCTATGACTTGTCACTTGTTGAGTGGTCAGTCAACCTGAGTGGCAACACTAAGCTCACTATCTACTGGGAACATATGGTTGATTTTTTTTTTTCTGCTAACCAACATGTCAATCGGATAAAAATTTGGGGTATTACTTGGGACTTTTAACTGCAATGGAAAAAAGAGATTGAAGCAGATAGAAAAATATTGTGAACGGCAGCTTAGGATTGTGGGTAGAAAGCTGGAACCACCAGGGTATCAGGTGACCTGGGATGAGGATGGACTGATGCATAATTAATTCAATACAATTCAATTCAATTCAATTTTATTTGTATAGCGCCAATTCATAACAGAAGTTATCTCAGGACACTTTTCAAATAGAGCAGGTCTAGACCAAACTCTTTATAACATTATTTACAGAGACCCAACAGTACCACCATGAGCAAGCACTTGGAGACAAGGCCAAGGAAAAACTGCCTGCCACAAGAACTCCGGGGAAGAAGTGAAGTTAGTAACATGCATTAATGGAACATGAATGAGTGCAGAAAAAGAGAGGAAGAGAGGAGCTCAGTGCACCATGGGAAATCCCCCGATAGTCTAGGCCTATAGCAGCATAACTAAGGGATGGTTCAGGACTCACCTGATCCAGCCCTAACTATAAGCTTTATCAAAGAGGAATGTCTTAAGCCTACTCTTGAATGTGGTGAGGGTGTCTGCCTCCCGAACCACAACTGGAAGCTGGTTCCACAGGAGAGGAGCTTGGTAACCGACTGAGGCTCTGGCTCCTGTTCTACTTTTAGAGACTATAGGAACCACAAGTAGCCCAGCATTCAGAGAACGTAGTGTTCTAGTGGGGTAATAGGGTACTATGAGCTCTTTAAGATATGAAGGGGCCTGACCAGGAAGAGCTTTATAGGTGAGGAGGAGGATTTTAAATTCTATTCTACATTTTACAGGGAGCCAATGCAGAGAAGCTAGTACAGGAGAGATGTGATCTCTTTTTCTAGTTCCTGTCAGTACTCGTGCTGCAGCGTTCTGAATTAATTGGACTTACTGGGGCAACCTGATAATAAAGAGTTGCAGTAATCCAGCCTTGAAGTAACAAATGCATGGATTAGTTTTTCTGCATCTGTCTGTGATAGTATGTGTCTAATTTTTGTAATATTACGTAAATGAAAGAAGGCAGTCCTAGAGATCTGCTTCATGTGGGAGTTAAAAAACAAATCCTGATCAAAGATAACTCCAAGATTCCTGACAGTGGTGCTAGAGGCCAAGGTAATGCCATCTAGAGTAACTATATCTTTAGACAGTGAGTCTCTAAGACTTTTGGGGCCAAGAACAAGAATTTCGTTTTTTTCTGAGTTTAACATCAGAAAATTGCAGCTCATCCAGGATTTTATGTCCTTAAGACATGTTTGTAATTTAGATAATTGATTAATTTCATCGGGCTTGATTGATAGATATAACTGCGTATCATCTGCATAACAGTGAAAGTTAATGGGGTGATTCCTAATAATGTTGCCTAAAAGGAGCATATAAAGAGTAAATAGTATTGGTCCAAGTACAGAACCTTGTGGAACTCCATGACTAACTGTAGTATTTAGTGAAGATTCATCGTTACAACATCGTACAAACTGCGAACGAGCTGATAAATATGACTTAAACCAGCTTAGTGTGGTTCCTTTAATGCCAATTTGATGCTCAAGTCTCTGTAAAAGAATATCATGGTCAATGGTGTCAAATGCAGCACTAAGATCTAATAATACAAGTACAGAGACGAGTCCATTGTCAGAAGCAATCAGAAGGTCATTATTAACTTTAACTAGAGCTGTCTCTGTGCTATGATGAACTCTAAATCCTGACTGAAAATCCTCAAATAACCTATTGTTATGTAGAAAGTCACACAACTCTTTGGTGACTACTTTCTCCAGAATCTTAGAGGAAGGGGAGGTTAGAGATTGGTCTATAGTTAGCTAAAACCCTTGGGTCAAGAGTGGGCTTTTTAAGAAGGAGTTTAATTACAGCTACTTTAAAGGACTGTGGTACATATCCTGATAATAAAGAAAGATTAATCATATCCAGTAAAGAAGTGCCAATTAAGGGAACAACTTCTTTAAGCAGCCTAGTTCGGATCGGGTCTAACAGACAGGTTGATGGCGTCGATGAAGAAATTATTGAAGTTAACTGATGAAGATCGATAGCAGAAAAACAGTCTAAATATATATCTAAGTTTACATTAGCAAAGGTCCCTGAACTTGGAGAGCCACTGATAACTGTTGATGGCAGTTGGTGATTAATTTTCTCTCTAATAGTAATAATTATAAAAGAAGCTCATAAAGTCGTTGCTACTTAAGTTTATGGGGATATGTGGCTCAATAGAGCTGTGGCTCTCTGTTAGCCTGGCTACAGTGCTGAAGAGGAACCTAGGGTTGTACTTATTTTCTTCTATTAGTGCTGAGTAATAGGCTCCTCTGGCATTACGGAGGGCCTTTCTTTAAGTTTTAAGATTATCTTGCCAAATTGAGCGATATTCTGATAATTTGGAAGAGCGCCATTTCCTTTCAGATTTCCTAGCTATTTGCTTTAACTGGCGGGTTTGGTGGTTATACCACGGTGCTAATCTCCTATGTTTTAATAATTTCCTTTTTATAGGAGCGATAGAGTCTAATGTTGATCGTAGTGAGCCTCCCTCAATTTCAGAGGGACTAAAGTTGTTATAGGACTCTGTTAAATTCAGACATGGCATTGAATTAAACACTGAAGGAATCTCCTCTTTAAATTTAGCTACAGCACTGTCAGATAGACATCTGCTGTAGGAAGTTTTGCATAATGGCTTATAATCTAATAGTATGAATTCAAAAGTTATTAAATAATGGTCAGATAGGAAAGGATTATGTGGGAAGACTATTAAATGTTCAATATCAATGCCATATGATAGAACAAGGTCAAGAGTGTGATTAAAACAATGAGTTGGTTTATTTACACTCTGACAGAAGCCAATTGAGTCTATTAATGATATAAATGCGTTACTAAGGCTGTCATTCTCAACATCCACATGAATATTAAAATCACCTACAATAATTACTTTATCTGATTTAAGAACTAAACTTGATAAAAACTCTGAGAATTCAGATATAAAATCAGAGTACGGTCCAGGAGCGCGGTACACTATAACAAATAGAACTGGCTGCAGTGTTTTCCAGTTTGGGTGAGAAAGACTAAGAACAAGGCTTTCAAATGAATTATAATTTAGTTAAGGTTTAGGGTCCATTAAAACGCTCGAATCATATATAGCTGCTACTCCACCTCCTCAGCCAGTGCCTCGAGGAATGTGAGTATTAATATGATGGGGGGGGGGTGGATTCATTTAGGCTAACATACTCCTCGTGGGACAACCAGGTCTCAGTAAGACAAAGTAAATCAATATCATAAACTGATATTAACTCATTCACTAAAACAGCTTTAGAGGACAGAGACCTGATATTTAACAGCCCACATTTCATTCTCTTATTTTGTGCTACTGAGGAGTTGGTTTTAATTTTTATTAGATTTTTATGTTGAACTCCTTGTTTTTATTTCTTTAAATAATTTAGGTGGTAGGGGGACAGACACAGTCTCTATGGGGTTTTGGGTGGGTGACTGTTCTAAAGAAAGCGCAGAGAAGTGTGTAAGACAGCAGCTCTGCTTCCTGGTCCTAACTCTGGACTGTCAGGTTTTAGAAATAAACTTCGCCATATTTCTAGATAAGAGAGCCGCTCCATCCAAAGTGGGATGGATGCCGTCTCTCCTAATCAGACCAGGTTTTTCCCAAAAAGGCTTCCAGTTATCAATGAAGCCCACATCGTTTTCTGGACACCACCTCGACAGCCAGCGGTGGAAGTCCGACATGCGGCTATACATGTCATCACTGGTCACATTGGGCAGGGGTCCAGAGAAAACTAGGTGAAGGTTCATGGTAAGCAGGGGGGGTGGTAGGATACACACACACACACACACACACACACACACACACACACACAAAGGGTTAGTGGTGACACATGATGACTATGTTTTGTGGTCTGTGTGTGTGTGTGTGTGTGTGTGTGTACATTCATGCAAATTGCATTTCCCACCATCGAAACTTAAGGCCCCTGTCTGAATTCCAGATTTGTAACTCACTTCCTATTGTGAACTAACACCTGTCAAACACACACACCGCGACACACACTCCCACAGACAGACACACACACACACACACACAGAGCAAACAGCAGTGTGTGAGGGTAAACCACAGGCATGAGTTTAATGTTTTGTATGTTTTTTTATGGTAGTGTTCTGTGGTTTGAGAGAAGTGGTAAAGTGTGTGTACTGTAACAGCTGATTTGAAGCTCTCTCTCTCTCTCTCTCTCTCTCTCTCTCTCTCTCTCTCTCTCATACACACACACACACACACACACACACTGTCTGGGAAGGGTGGGTGGTGGGTTGCTTATTCATCTTGAGTCAGAGCTGGTATGATGACCCTTACATTTTGTATGAATGACGGTACAGCACACTCACAGGCACACACTCTAGTTTCCAGTGGTTGTGAAGCAGACAGATACTGTGTGTTGAAGGGAAGAGGACAGACTGAAGAAGCCTTGAGTTGGAGTTCTTTTTATTCTGAGTGGACCACAGACACACAGTAGGCACCTTCCAATGTTTTCTCCTGTGTGCGCTGATGTGTATGTGTGTGTGTGTGTGTGTGTGTGTGTGTGTGAGAGAGATTAATTGTTCTGTCAGTACTTTGCAGTCTTGTACAGCCTTTGTAACGAGTTTCACTTCACCAGTTTACTGAGAGGGCTTAAATTCAAATTAGCTTTATTTGCAAGTATGCGACCACTGTTAGAAAAAAACAAGTGTATGAAACACAGAAAGGTACTGTAGCACTTTCTCATAAGGCACCCTTTATAAAGAACTAAGGTTTATAACAAATGGCTTTATTATTTATTTATTGTAAGCCATGAATAGCACTTTTGGTTTGATTGTTCAGCCTCCTACAGTATAACACTTTCTTTGTCTGTTTGTTAACACCCACACCTGCTTGATGACATATTGTAAGAAAGTTTTAAGGACTATAATAGACTTTTATAACAGTAGATGACGTACTCTGTTTTTCTGTTGATTTATTATAAAAGGAGGAACTTGTGACAATTTATTAATAAATAAGTGTGTGTCAGTGTGTCATTACATTATTATACATAATAATTTAGAGTAACTTACACCTGGCGGGCATGGTGTCGGTGGGACGGATGAAGTCCAGGGAGGGACACGATCGGCTCGGTTCACCAGTAACAACGGATTATCCCTGAATCCCTGTTGTCTCTGATGTAAATTGGTGAAACTACCGGGTGTAAAATGATCACTGCAGGGACGGGTGTTGGTGGTGATCCTCACCTCTCCATCAACGTAGCTCTTCACAAAATCGGTCCAACTCTTCCTCAGAACATGCTCCTTCGGAAAATTAAATAAAGTGACCGAAGATGCACTTGCGGGATGTTGATGGCATACTTAAGCTAGCTAGCAAAGGCTGTGGCTAATAACAAGAAACGGTTGTAACGACTCAGCAATGAGCGGGAGAGCCACTGATGTTAGTGTGCACTACGCTTTTATACTGCTACAGCGCGGGTGGCTCCAGTGCGTCATCGAGGGATACTTTTCGCCCCGCCTAAAGAAATTCTGAACCCAAAAAACGTTAAAACTCAACAACTAGTTTCCAGTCTTTTATAATGTTTTCAACAGCTATTTTATGACACAATGTGTTCATAGAGGAATCACTGAATTTGCTTTACACGGACAGTGTGTAACATTTAGGAGGCTCTATTGGCAGAAATGGAGTATAATATTCAAAATGCTCCAAATATGAGTAACCCAACATTGTCTATAAAGTAAATGAGACCTTTACTTCTTTCCCCGGGGTCGCCCACAATAGGTCCTCCTGCTTCACAGCTCTCTGTAAGCTACGTGTCAGTTAGCAAGACAGCTAGCTTGGTTAGCAATAAGTTCACAATTTATTCAAGAAACAAATTTGTACAATCAACCCCTGTCTCATAACCGTCTGTAAACCATTCTTTTGTGAAGCAGCCTATACTCATACTGTAGGAGGGTTAAGTAAATGTGAATGGTGCGACACAGTTAGTAAGTTACGTTAGCTTCCTTAGCTTGGGACTCTTCAACTCTCAGTTCCCTGTGTAAACAAACTCATACAGTGTGTATTCATTTGACCAAAATTGAACTCAAAATTAAAATGAATAGAAATTTCACTTCAGCTCTTTCTTCTATGGTCATTCCCCCTCTCTTCCTCTCTCACACACCCTCACACACAGTCTTATTCTCAGCCTTTTAAGACACACACATCCATACTCTCTCTCTCTCTCTCTCTCTCTCCCTCTCTTGCACACACGCTGCTGTCGACTCAGCACTTTCCTGCCCCGCGTTTTCCCGGTGTTCCTGGAATCTGACCAGGTTTTGTGAATGGCTGGCAGGGTTGGGTGTGGCACTGCTGTACCTTTGCCCTGCACTGCAACAACATCACATTCATAAAAGCTTTATCTCCTCTCACACACACAAACACACACAGTTTACATCTTCATCCAGGAGGCTGACAGGTAGGGGCTGCATTGTTATTCCAGCTCTATCTCGCTATACCTCACCTGTGTGTGTGTGTGTGTGTGTGTGTGTGTGTGTGTGTGTGTGTGTGTAAACAGGGGCCCCATTCTGTCAGAAGGTGAATCTCTGCGGGGGGTAAACTAGAGTTCGGCCTCATTAGCGAGAAACCTTCTCATTGCTCAGGTCACACGTGTCTCTCTCTCTCTCTCTCTCTCTCTCTCTCTCTCTCTCTCTCTCTCTCTCTCTCTCTCTCTCTCTCTCTCTCTCTCTCTCTCTCTCTCTCTCTCTCTCTCTCTCTCTCTCTCTCTCTCCCTCTCTCTCTCCACACGCCCGCTCGTAAAGGTTCGACCCAGCTGTGTGTGTGCGTTTGTGGCCATGGATCATGCTCTCTAATTGGAGACACAGATCCCGTTCTCCTGCTCTCACCTTCTCTTGAGCAGCTGTATTTATGTTTACTGCTGTGACCCAGATAACAGATACCGCCACTACATGCTGGAGACGGGTCGCTGTTGTTGGTTAAAGGGATAGTTCACTCAAAAAACACAATGAAACTTAAATTTCCTAGACTCTGATCTACTTTCAGTATGATTTGCTGAGGGTTGGAGTTATCCCCAGTACACAACGTCCCTGTACATTTCTGTGTAGTTATTCTTAATGCCTTCCACCGGGTCAGGTTCCCCTTGAAATCAATTAAATGAGGCGGTAGAAACACTACCGCTGTTGTCCACAGGGGCTGCCAGAATCAACTGAAAATGAAAGTTCCTTGTTGCAAAGGGCAAAATATTACACAAAACTCAACAGCAATGTCTCGCCCCACATGTAATGACACACATTGTGAGAACAACTTCTGGCTTCCAGGGTGTGGAATGAAGTGGAAGTAAAAAAGGCGCCATTACTGCATGTAGTCATGTATGTATCCTACAGAAACTGCTACATGAAAGGAAACGCATTTGAAACAGCTATATGCAGACAACTAAAAAGTTCATGAAATTCTTATGTTCCATCTAAAAAGAGACTTTCAGCATTGTGTTTCCTGGCAGAATTATAAGTTAATTTCATGTTTGTAATTGATGTATTTAATCTAAATATAATGAAATAAAAATATTGCATGTTTTTAATTGATAATCATAGTCTACCAATTATGGTGAATAATATCAGGTAGGCTTATAACCAGAAGCACTTTGACGTGCATATAGCCTTCACAGTGACAGCGACATCACCAGAGCACGACACATTAATCAGCTGGCAGATCGATATTTAAGTATCAAAATAATTCCATTGAGCTTCATCTGAGCTCGAGCTATCACAAAATTAGATTAGCTTAGCATAGAGACTGGAAATTAGGGGAATTATTTATCCTAGGTCTGTATACTGTACTCTTAAAGGTACGGTAACTCCCCATAAAATTATAACTTGTCGCTTTTACATTTTTGTACTGATAAAACCAACAAGATATTTATAGTTATTATATTAGTGAGTTTTAGAAGTGCTGGAAGCCATTTTTTTTTTAACTTTGGGCAGAGCCAGACTAGAAGTTTACCCCTGCTTCCAGTCTTTATGCTAAGCTAAGCTAATCACCTTTAGCTTTATATTTTGAATGATGATGACATTGGTAACAACCTTCCCAAAAGAGTATACTTTGGCAAAATGTCAAATTATTCATCTGGAGGGACAGATCACATTCCATTGAGGAGGAGAAATAATAATATTGTGTTTCTGGTTAACTGTCTCTTCATTTGTCTACTTTATTTGATTATCCACAGAGGCCAAAAGGCTGGCAGTACAAAAGCAAACGTGAGAAAAATGGACTTAACAATAGATTTTTTGAGAGTAAAAAGAAGACACCACATTTCTTGTCAGTGTAAACAGGTACTGTACCTGACCTCTGACCAGTGGGCGGGGTCAAAGCCAAGAGTCCATTCCTCCTCATTATTGAGACACTCTTCAGTCTTATCTGTGTGGAGATGAGTGTGACTGTCTGCTACCCCACAGAGAGGGCATGTGAAATGCGTTTGCTTTCCCACAATGCCTTGTGTGTACAGAGAGGTGGCGGTGGGGGGTGAGGGAAGCGCGGCCACTCGGACAGAACCGCTCTTTGCCTCTGGCATCGCCATGGAGACGGGGACTCTTTTTATAGAGTTCTCTCGGCTGCTCTCATTCTCCTGCTGTTTACCATTCAGTTCATATGTTGGAGCGCAATTTAGAGCCCGGAGGAACTTTTCTCATTTCACTACAGAGCTGAGATGGTTTGTGTGTGGTCTTGCTGTGTAGCTGGATGGGCAGAGCAGGGTCAGGGTTGTTCAATTCCACCTACAGTCAAAGTGTGTGAAATCACTGGTATTCCACTTTCTCCTGGTATTCCTTGCCATCCTTCTGGCGTAACTTGGACCCGTTCCCGGGAAAATGGGGCACTTGGCATCTCTCACACACACACACACACACACACACACACACACACACACACACACACACACACACACACACACACACACATACACTCAATCGAAGACAGTGAACTGAATTTGGGCACAAAGTGTGTGTGCATCCTCAAAATGCAAATCCCTGCCGCGATGGGCTGAGGCGCCAAGCCAGCACATGTGTATGGAAAAAGGCCACTTGAGTGAGGGAAATGCTGACAGAGAAAGAGGAAAAGAGGGAAAGCACACACACTCTCCCAGGATGCCACACACACACATACACAGTCACACCTACACTCATACACGCAACAGAGCCGATCCATAGTCCACTTGCACGTGGCGTGGGTGTGTGCTTCCTCCTCTTTACTCACATTTTTTGGCTTGCTTCACAGAGACACACCCACTTTGTTTTGTAGGACAGGACACACACACAGGAAGAGAGTGAGAGAGAGAGCAGAGTGTGTAACTCTGTCACTGTCAGGATGCAGCGAGAGTAGGAACTACCTCTTGAAGCTCAGTTAGAGGTTGGTATAAGATGGGACAAACAGAGTGGGAAACACTCTTCTGAGGAAATGGATGCTTTGCCAAATTCTGAAGAAAAAGGGACGGTTTTGCTCGCAAATGTTAGTCATGAGGGGAGGAGGACTGGGAGGAGGCAGGACGAGAGGACAAGCAGACAGAGTGCAAACACACTTTCACCATGGTACAGGAGAGGGTGAGTCAAATGGACTACAACAATAGCTCTAATTTTTATGCCTTTATGTAATGTACATCTAATGCTTTCTACCTGTTTACAGGAGTGTATGTGCGGGTGGATGTGTGTGTGGGTGGGTGTGTGTATGTATGAGTGCTCACGACTGCCCCATGCAGCACCAGTCTGGGTTTGTTTACCTGCCTGCGAGCTTTCCCACATGAACTCGCGTCAGTGGAAGGTAACAGGACCCGGTGGGCTCTGATGCACCCCTCCCCGCCATAAACAATTGCCCTGCCGTGTCTCAATAATGCTCTGTTGTCACCAGGCGAACGGCAGGTAGACAGGCTGATAGAGGGTTTCAGACAGGCAGGGGTTGTGTGTCTGTGTGTGTGTGTGTGTGTGTGTGTGTGTGTGTGTGTGTGTGTGTGTGTGTGTGTGTGTGTGTGTGTTTGTGTGTGTGTGTGGAGGTTGAGAGGGAAGGTGAAAGTCTGGGAGTATTGACGGGATGCCAAATGCCGGTAGGGAGTGAAACATCTCTGGTGTTTTTTTCCACTAGGAGATGATGCTGGAGGGCAGCAGTCGGGGGGGGGGCAGAGCTACACAGCAGCAATCACAGAATGTACTTACATAGACTCTAACTGTATTGTCCAGTAATGTGTATGATACAGAGTGAAACTGCTACACATAGCTATTTTGTCATTTGATATTTGTGAGAGGATACAAGAGATGGACTCATGGGAACTAGTGGTTCCCTTGTACTTCCCTAATAACCACAAAACTACACTAAAAAACTGATATAATGTCTTGTAAAAAGTTGCTCAGAAAGTTCCCTTTTTCTCAAATGTCTTTCTTTGGTACTCATTTTAATAATATTTTAAATTAGGGGTGCACGATAATTATCGGGCCGATAACAGGAAATTATTTCGTCATTCCGATAAGTCCGATATCATGACGAATAGCCCCGATAACTTATATAATTTTGTCAGCACGGCAGTGCCCCGCTCTCACTATGAGACCTGAATGGCCTGCAGTGAATGCTGCGTTCAAGTTTTAAAAAAAAGTTATCGTGCATCCCTATTTTAAATCCTCTGTAGCACTGTGGAAATTGGCTTGTACTGCTTTCTCCTGCAGTGTCCTCCTACTCACAGTGGCCTCCAAAACTTCTTACTTTCCTTTTTCACAGCAGCCACTTTGACATTTGGCTTTCCAGTGAGCCAACATGTGCATTAGCATGGCAATACCCTCCTGCTGCTGAATGGAGCAGAGCAGATATCATTAACATCTGAGTTTACCCTCCTGTTTCCTGTCAGACTGGCTGTTGTGAAAAAAGTCTATTGGAATTGTTGTAGATTGCATAACATTAAAGAATGAATAAAACTGAAACAGAAACAATGGATCTAATGACTGCGTAATTTGAGTGGTTGCTCATAGTTATGTCAGATCTTGATCAGAGCTTGTTCTTCTGCGACAAAAAGAAAATAAATAGTGCTGCTTAAAAATAAATTACACCTATAAGTACTTATTGAGTTAATGAGTTCCTCAGAATGGCCTGCCTTTATTACTGTAGCCTGTAATTATTTAATATCTGCCTAACCCTTAATTAAGCTTAAATATTGTTTTATTGTTTTAACTTCTTTTGGATGAAATCTATTGAAAAAAAATTTTTTTTAAGCCGTGCTGGCTTCATGGACATTAAAGGGAGTCATTTCAGGAGGTGTTTCTTCCCTTTCCTTCCACATTTTTTATATAACTATTCTGTATATCTGTCTGTCGGTGCGTCCTTAAGAGTTGAAGGTCCTCCTGTCAACCAACTGTCAACTCAACCATAGCAGCGAGATAAAGGTGTGATAACTGCATATCTTTGATATGCAACATGTAGTGTCAGTCTTGTCACATGTACAGTCATACACAATACAAAATATGTTGACATTTGTCCTCTGTATTTAAACTAAGTACTAAGAGCTGTGGGAAGCCACTGTACAGCGCCTGGGGACCAACTCCAGATCTGAGCTAGTAAAGGGTCAAGGGCACTGACTGGAGAAATAAACCTGACATACATGTTTTGATGGTGACCAGAGCACCCGGAGGAAGCCCACGCAAACACGGGGAAAACATGCAAACCCCATCACAATCCAATGATATCGATTACTAATTACTTTAGAACCTCTCAGTTCACTTTTGATTTCCAAGCGGTGATATCAACGAGCGCGGACCAAAATGCCTCTGGAGGCAATTGGATAGCGCTACAACCAACCAGAGCAACAAAATGTGTGATTAAACCAAATCCTGTGAGAAGTACAACAAACAGATCTTTCTTATCAACGAAAGCTTTAAGCTTTGTTCTCCTTTTAGACAGAATATACCGTTGAGTTGTTTAATACTGGCATGATAGCTGATTCAACAGAAACAGATCCACAGCAGGTTGTTTACGAAAAATGCCTCATCTGCCTCCTCTGCACAGTCATCGTATCAAACCCACCCCATATTAGATAAACGGTTGGGACTGGAGATCCAGGACAGGTGGGAATCTGTCTGAATGGGAGGGAGGCCAGACCCATCTTCATTGTAAGAAGCAGAAACCCAAAGACACTCAACTGAGACTAAAGCAGTCGACATTCAGACAGGCTCTGGAAAATGTTGCCTGTGTTTAGGCTACATTCTGCTCACTCTAAATATCTTTTAAATCAAGTTGAGTGTAATTCTTCTTCCACATTTCACCCTGATCTGTGCTACATTTAATATTTCCTTCACATCAAGGTCATTTCAATGATAATACTAGTGTCAAGAAGAGTTATACCCGATGTAGTTGCTTTCCCATCAGTCAATGCATGGCTGAGATATGTACACTTCAGTCTTTCTTATTTGATACAAACTTTAGCATCAAACCCAACAGATATAAAAAAGGACAACTTTGGGCAATGATTTCTAGGCAGAGACTTCATTTCTAGGGTGTCACATGACTAGATTGAAACTTGGACCGAAACACTGATATTGTCCTTTCATTTACCCATCAATTAACAAGGGAATTTCCACTGGCAACTGATTGAGCTCTGATCCCTGATGCACACGTCTAATTGCCCAACCCTAATTCCTTTCCTGTACCTGCTCAGCCTGTCTAGGTCAAGGGATCAGAGTTGAAAACATTCAACCAACCACAGCGACATTTGACACCTGACCATCAACAGGCGTCAAAGGAGTGCCCTCAAACAGAGGCCAGATTTGTGACGTGAGCCGAACTTACATCATTTCCTGCTGGGGTGGGAGCTGGCAGCAACCCCGCCAAGCACTTTGTTTGATTTGGAAGTAGCGGCGGAGAGCCCGTGTGGCAGCGGGGTGTGTTTATGGGCTGTGGTGGGCGTTAACGTGCTGTAAGGGAGCCTCTGACTCGGCAGCTCTCAGTGGAAGCACAAACACCACCAAGGAGCATGAACTGTGATCTCATCCTGCTGTTTGATGTGTGTGTGTGACTCTGTGTGGTTATAGTGGTGCTTTTGATCAAAATGAGGCTGTAGAAGAAACATTGTAAATTTTACCCATCATAATGTAATAACAACTTGTTTGAACAATGTCAGTGGTTCCAATGCTAATCCTTGCTCAGGTTATGTCTAGATTGTTTACAGGCCCAACAGGGGCGTGATTAAGGGCAGTTCCTGAAATCAGATGGGGTTATTCTGCAGTCAGACAGGAATTGCAATGCAACATTGTTTGGTACGCTCTGAAAAAAAAGCTGGCAGAACAGAAAATAATGTGGGCATATACAAAAGATTAATACCTCCTGAATGAGAGGTCAATCCCACTCTGTCTCTAATTGGCTGGATATGAGGCCTGCATCTACTTGCGACAGGAAGTGAATGCGGTCTTCCTCTTTGAAATTAATGGGGACCACATTTTGACTGTGGAATTAGGGTTAGACGCCAGCGTTAAAATGCATATTTATGATTAATGATCCATGTTAAAGGCGGTTCCATCTAACCAGTGTATTATCTGTTTTTTTTTCACCCATGCAGAACAAAGACAAGACCAGTGCAGAGATGTGACTCCAGTCCGAATATACTGAACCAAACTGGTGAAGCACATACCTGTAGTTGGAATCAGTAAGTCATGTACTTGTATTCAGTATATTCATCATATTTTTTGATACACATGGTAGTCAGTGATGGTTAGAAAACTGTCTCACTGCCAAAGCTGCTGTCTGTTTGGCTACCGTCACTCAAGCTACCGTCACTCAAGCTTAGTATGAACCCTTTGTGTTGGTTCATTGCTGAGGCACGGCAGGGCGATATGTCCCGGCAGTCGTGTAGATTGTTAGAGGAACAAAGGCAAAGCAAGAAATCACTTCACAGCTAGTATGGACAAATGATGATTATAGCCACCAATACATTCTCTTAAAATACATTACGGTATGTGAGTATTGTGTTACGATAAACTTGAAACAATCCAAACCAGCTCTTTTAAGAGTTGAGGCTGCTCTCAAGCTAACATTTGGTAGAAAGTTAGCTGTAGTCCTTTTGAGAAGGGTCTTGCAGACTACACGACACACCCTGTCAGATAACTTCCTTAACGTACTGAGCTACAGGCGTGGTTTAGCGCTATAACGTGTGTGAGAAGTGAATGTTTGCTTGAAAACAACAATGGCAGCTGCTAAAGAGGTTAGCGTATATATCTGCTATATTAGAACTGCAGCCCTGAAGGCCTCTCTGTGGAAAAGATGTTTTGCTCTTCTCCCGTTATAGATAGTGATAGACAATCACCGTCTATACTTTTATACAATGTTTTGTCTTTCTTCTGCGTACTTACACTCTTTGTTAAGAGTTCTCACGACTTAATCTGTCTCCTAAATTGTTCAGCTGAATGAGGGATTATGTCCATGCTGTGGAATCGGGCCGGCTGTTGATGACGTCCCTTTGTGCCTATCACTCTGTCATCACTGCCATATTGTCATTGTTGTCTCCCTGCCCCAGCAGAGTCGGTGGGTCACAGCGTGACGTGGCTGAGTAAAACCCACAGTTCCTGTTTCCGTGCAACACGAGAAGGCCTTTTGTTTAGTTACACACCCTCATATCTTAAATTAAACACACAGTTGTGACGTTTGACGCCGGTGGAGGCCCCCACTTCCTCAAATACGATACTGTCTGTCTGTAGTGTGAAGGCACGTCATGAGAAAGTGAAATCGACAATAGCCCAGTGCGTGACATTAGCATGTCAGATTTCAGTGGGTGTGTGTTCCGTGTGTGTGTGTGTTGCTGACTGTAAGTTGACTCAGCAAGGTGGATTTACTGTATGTTTGCTACTGGCATCACGCCTACAATGGCTTCTCAATATAACTTTAGTTTCTTGCTGTCTTTCAAGTTATGTAATTGGGGCTAATAGGTCACAGTCAATAGTTTCAGACCATCAATCAACCAAGTATCAGAATAGGTGTACATGTGTTTTTATACTGTATCTGTGTGTAGGTTATCAAGCCCTCTGAAACAGGGACATGGGAGCTAAACTTCTTAAAATAAAGTACTTCAAGCATCATACTGGTATTGTGATGTAGCCAGGAGAAGATTGTCCAACTTTTTATCCGGCCTTCAAGGGTGGCCATTCAGAACAGCAATAAACACTTTAGACATGATTGGACAATCCGTGGTTGAATCCTGCACTTAGAGGTGCATCTCCATCCCAGCCTCACCTGTCTGACACTGTACACACATTCTAGAGTAAGAATCAGCACAGTCTCAGTCCAGTTGTTTGGCCCCCCCTGACAGCTTTCAGAACAACAGAGAGCTAAACGCATCCCATCTTTTCCACTTAAATGTCTAGATATGAACAGTTCCTATTGCATCCGCTGCTGTTCCAATTGTTCTTTGTCAACATCAGCATGACAGCATAAAGCAGTCTTTTCATATTGTCAATTAAACACATATTAGTCAATATATTTTAATTCTGCATGGCAAAGTCATTTATCTGTTCTTTGCGTCCTTTGGTCTTAAAAGTCCTGAGTTCCACTTAATGGAGACCAGAGATTGTGAGATGTTCTCTGAAAAGAGTTGTGTCAGATTATTTTAGACTCGGTCAGGACAAGCAAGTTGTAATTTACTAAAATGGCTTAGATTGTCAGAATTGACTCTCAAACTTTGTTGTTTTTGCCTGTCGTAAATCGAGAAACTGTCATTCAGCTTTCCATTGGCAAGCTCTCATACCCTGCAAAGGTCATGGGACAGCAGAGCTTCCTGGAGGAAAATTCTTCAGTTCTCGGGACAGATCTAAAATTCTTCATCATTATATCAAAACCATCTTTATCCCACTGAAGTGATGATGCTTAATTTTCAGGCTAATCTGATGACTTTGCAACCAGATTTCCAAAGCATTGGAAATTTGAAGAATTTCCAATTGAAGGCAGTGAGGGAAAAAAACCATGCTACTTTCTAAAATCTATTGACACAGCTCTTGGCTTAAAACATCCATTACACTTATGACTAGACTTGCATGCTTTCAAAATGTGTTTTGCACTTAATGTGTCCCTGCATGCAACCCTCAATTGTTGATTGATGGATTCACAGCTTAAATTTGCTTTGTGTTTGCTCATTGGTTTTATCCTTAATAAACTGCCAGGACTCACATGTTTGACTTCCACTTGGTGATCACTGAGCCATATGCAGGTTGTGTTTGTCTTGCCTTTATATTCCCGATGCTACTCATTCATAATTAGTTTTTTGGTTTTGCATTGGTAAATACTTCCTTCGGTCAGGTTTAGTGTCTGAAAGCTTCTGTATGATTGGAAAGACGCTGAAGTAGAGGCTGTTTTTGAAACTATAGATCTCAGGTGGTTCCAAACATTCAGTCACAGTTTGTGGATGTTAATTACTGATGAATATGTATCAGGTGCTTTTCTTAAGGTCTGTGGCCTGATTGGTATTTTTTCTATCCAGTGATCTGATGTTGCAACCTGGTGTGTTTGGAATGACAGATTTTGACATAGATACACAGGACATCCTGTGGTTATTGATTTGTTTGGGAAGGGAATGGCTTGGGAATGTTGCGCTCCTGTGCGGTGATCGATTGTAGGGAGGGAGTTGGCATTTGTTCTCATGGGAGTGGTTCACTGTTAGTGAACAAACGCTGCTCAACTTCGATGGAAACCGCCCATTCTGAGGAGAAAAGGGCTCAGAGAATGAGGAAGAGATTTGTCGACCTTGTGTATTTATGCTTCAGGGTGCTGTGCTGCACTAGGTGTTGTTTTATTTCATCCGGTTTCAGACGTAATTTTCCCACATGGTTGTCAGCCTCTTGGTTTGAAAAGGTGAAAAAGCCATTAAGGAAAGAGCCATATCAATAATTATCCACCTTTTGAAAAATGTGACACATTATTAAATTGTCAGTAGCATAAAATCAATACTAACTCAAAGTACACCTTTGTATGTCTTAGGTTTTTTATTTCTGAATGGCTTATTTTAAAGGTAAATTCTGGTGTCACACAACCTGGGTCTGTTTCCTAGTTTTGGCCAGGCGAGATCTGGCTGTGCGGTAAGCTGTCAGACAATCAGACAAGTTGCAATGAACCCTCCATGTTAGATAAACCTTTTCAGAAGAGAAAACCAGTGAAGTGTAACATCTCTGCTGTAAACATCCATCACAGTTTACAGGATGACGTCGTGGTTCAACTTTGACCCACTTACAGTCTCACTTGTGAGAGACGGTGATACAGAGATGGTTCATTCAGCCACCTGCCAAGTATTTTTTGAAAGTGCCTGTCCTTTTCCTAACAGTTCCCAAGTGGTGCTGTGTATCAAAGCTCCTGGCACAGTCAGGTTAGATAATCCCAAGAAACTACAGGAAATGACTCCACGTTGCAAAAAGACAGAAGATGACATCTATAAGCCAGCAGCTGCTCATGCGTGAAAAACTTTAAATGACTAAACAAAGCAGGCAAGTCTCAGCAGTGTGGACTGATCTGGCTGGTCCAGTTCATCTTAACTGGTATGAACACCAAAAAAAGGTGAATTAGTGTGGGTGTAGGCCTATCTATCATACTCCAATCAGTCCATTGACGAAAATTCTATGTAACTTATTTACAAGCAGTTGTTGAGTGGGAATATCAGATCATTTAAATGTAACTTCGAGCTCTCCACCAAACAAGCGTTTTGATCCATGGTGAATACAAATAATGACACATTCACAGATCAGCCCCTCCATAAAAGAGATATTGAACACTGGACCGCTGCCAACAGTTTTGAAAGAGGACTCTTCATTTGCACACAGACTGTTTACACTCTTGCCAGCAGACCTTGGCGTGTATCTTTCAGTTGCAGCCAATCCGCCTAAATTCTTTAAACACCCACGTGCCCACAGCACAATCAGATGTCAGGAGATCTATTGGGGCAGGGGGGGAAAGGCTTCAGGCGAGGGGGTTTTTTGTAGAGTCACGGCGCTGTTGTGTCGATGGACAGGATATTCCAGGAACGTAACGGCTCTTACTGTAACACGCTGCTCATTTTGGGAAGCCGCATGGCACTGAGCCAAGAGAGAAGCAGAATGTTGAAGATTTACAATTTGGCTTGTGGTTAGTGATGACTAAGTTTATGTGTGTGTGTGTGTGTGTGTGTGTGTGTGTGTGTGTGTGTGTGTGTGTGTGTGTGTGTGTGTGTGTGTGTGTGTGTTGAATGTTTTCTGAGTCACTGCTCAGTGGGCTTTAGGAGAAGTGTGTCAAACTTAAAAACAACTGCAGTGTAATCCAGAAAGGTCCCAGGAGTGTTTTGAGTGTTTGTATGTGTGTATGTGCATGTATGTGTGTTTTAGCTAATAATGAGGTCGGGGGGGGATGAGTAGTTAACTTCAAAACCACGAGCTGCAACATGCTGCTATTTTTACCCCTGCTTCAAATTAGCCTGTTAAGATTGTTTATCTGTGTCCAGGGAGGAAGGCCTCTTGGCCAGGCGAGCCACAGCAGCACTGGGAGTGGACTGCAGTTGCGATCCGTTCCCGGAACTGAGCCCAAACTAAGCCAGATGTTTGAAATTCTCCAGAAGGAAAGGGTTTTGTTTTGTCCTCTCTCCTTTCCAGGAAGGAAAATAGGGTGAGGAGAAACGCGTCAGCTTTGTTTGTGTTCTAG